AAAACACGCGGGATGTAGGAAGAGCACGAGAGAAGCGTAGGAAACCACGACGCGTAGCGGAGTTGTTTCCAGCTTTTCGAGTGCTCTCCCTACATCCCAAGTGTTTTGATCAGAGTATCAAACACGAAATTTCGTCTTTTATTTCTTTTCTAAAATTAAAAGAAAAAAAGAAATTTTTGACGTGCGCGAGCGTGTTTTGACATAGGCCACCCAACTAATGCATTAGAGACAGAAAAGAACGAATGCGCACGCTTTTATTATGTATATGTATCTGCGGTGCCTGAAGACCAGAAACTTGGAAAGGAAAAATTTAACGGATCTTGCAATAGGAAACGATCGGAAACCATACAAAGACTAAGGTTTGCTTCCTTTCGATGCAAAACGAGTCAATTGACAAGCGGAAAAAAATAATGGACTATCGAAATTTTTCACATTAAAAATATTATTAAAAATGTTATAAAACCGATAATAACAGAAAAAAAGGTAAGAAAAAAAAAAAACGAAGAAAGAAAAAAAAAATGACATGCAAGAAGGTAGCCGTGAGGTCAGCCTCACGGCTGACACGGAAAAGTGTAACGGATTTAGAACCCTTGCAATTGGAAACGATCGGAAACCATACAAAGACTAAGGTTTGCTTTCTTTCGATGCAAAACGAGTCAATTGACAGGCGGCGATACACAAATGGACCATCGAAATTTTTCACATTAAAAACTGATAATAAAAATGTTATAAAACCCATGATAATAAAAATGTTATAAAACCCATAACAACAGCAAACAAAAAGGTAAAAAAAAAGAAAGAAAAAAAAAGACATGCAAGAAGGTGGCGGTGAGCTCACCCGTCCCATGTTAGGCAGGAAATAAACGGAACCCAAGCACTGATGTCTACCCCTGTGCACTACTGTAACACGGTTATGACGTWKCGYGCAAAGYTTAGCATTTATATGTTTGGAGGGACAGGAAGCCCGGTTAGACTTCAAAGTAGATTAGCTTTGCAAAGATTTCGCGATTAGGGAAATGATTATATCTGTGTAGAATATTGAATAAATGACATTGTTTTACTTGAACAGGAACCGTGCAGCATAATTTTCATTGGAGTGTGGGCTAAATCGGGACGGGACATCTAGCGAGAAGTGTCAGATGAATTCAAAATGGCGGCCAAATTAGCGGCTCTGTGGTGCCTGAAGACCAGAAACTTGGAAAGGAAAAATTTAACGGATCTTGCAATAGGAAACGATCGGAAACCATACAAAGACTAAGGTTTGCTTTCTTTCGATGCAAAACGAGTCAATTGACAAGCGGCAAAAAATAATGGACTATCGAAATTTTTTCACATTAAAAATATTATTAAAAATGTTATAAAACCGATAATAACAGAAAAAAATGTAAAAAAAAACAAAGAAAGAAAAAAAAAATGACATGCAAGAAGGTAGCCGTGAGGTCACCCGTCCCATGTTAGGCAGATAATCAGCGGGGGAGGAAATAGACGGACCCCAAGCTCTGATGTCTATCCCTGTACACTACTAGTAACACGGTTATGACGTAGCGCGCAAAGTTTAGCATTTATATGTTTGGAGGGACAGGAAGCCCGG